TAATTACATTTTATTCCTAAAAACATGGTGGAAATTTTTCCTTTTTTTCTGGTTGTTGACAGTATTAAGGAAGAAAGAAATCCAAAATCCTCCCTGTTTATGCAAAATAAATCTTGTAATACCTAACAAATGTTTTAATATATTGTGATTAATCAGCTGGGTAAATGTGGTGATATCTATCAATTCCACATTTTTACCTATTCACCTGTAGTGTTTAGCCTTAAACAACACAGAGATTTATTTGAGATGAAAATTTATTTTTGAAGATGATTATTTTCTATTTGAAAATAATACTTTATTTAGCCTTTTTGTGGAAATTGGTTGGTGCTAACACACCTAAAAACATTACACATACATTAAAAAAAGTGAATATTTATCCAACTAAAAAATGTTTCAAAACACTTTTATGGAGGAACACGAATCTCCAATCTACATAAAAATAATGTTCAAAGTAATACGAAGTTCAATGTACAAATACAGCCATGCAAAAATTCAGCACAGTTCCTGCCAAAATCTCATAACTGTGGTACATATTAACTACCACTGTCATCAAAAAAAAAAAAAAATCAAACAGACATGACAAAAAGATTTATATTACTGTCTTATTATTGTGAAGACACAATAATCTATTAGGATTTTACAGTTTTATCTCTACAAAAAACATGCATGCCTATATTATCACTGATTAAATAAACTATCAAAAAAACAAAACAAAAAACTTATTCAGGAGGTTTCTGTCAGATATTTATTTATATACAAGTATGCATGTATGTAATTATTTTTCCAAAAAGCCATTGGATTAGTGCTTATTATTTCTAATGATGGTAACATATTTCATAACGCAGGTCTACGTTATAGTGCAGCAGGGCTAGATGTGTCACGGCCTTAGTAACTTATAAGTTAAAGAGTCAAAGCCCAATCACACAAACACCTTTCTCTAGTGCTTTTGGTGATCAAGATGGTTATGGTGGTTTTGTGAATGCAATAACACCAAAATGGAAAGAAATTAAGACAAGGCTCTACATATAATTAACTGATGTTATCTAAAAGGTTAAACTCAGGTCAAGGGGAGGACACCTGTTTTTTCATAAATGTCATGTTGGAGAAAGTTGTCATGTGTTATTAAAGTTTTATGCATATTTTGTTCTTGTTTTATGAATAGTTTTGCATTCACAACTGTTTACCGTTTTAAGATATTAAATTATCCTTTTCCTGAAATGCTTTGTCTTGATGTTTATCTAATTTTCTAATTTATCCTACTTGTTTTAGAACTTTCAGAGAACACTCAAAAGTAGCTTTCCATAATGTTTGTAAAATTATTAAATGGAATGTTCCCTTAACGTTCGCATAACCAACAAAAAACGTTTTTAAAACATTTAGAAAACGGACGTTCTGAACGGTTAGAGAACATTCTAAAATAACGTTTTCATAATGTAAATAACGAGAAACATTCTTAGAACATATTTTTGTTAGCAGGGAACTTTCTCATACAATTTAAATACAGATAAATGCCACAGGTCCGCATTATGACAACATGCACCAATAGCCCCTGACGGGTGTTGAACAAACTCAGACTTTTATACTGGAAAATGTAATTTGTCACAGCACAGGACTTGAAATGAGGGTCACAAGGAAATTAAAGGTGATTAAAATTGCGCAAAGCTTAAAAGACTTCGAGATCGGTTTCAACACCCGTTCCTTAAACTTTTAATCTGTTCATGAGCTGTATGTCAGACTCAGCTACTCATATAAACGGCGCTTTCCCGAAACTGATTCTTTATTTCTCTTCTTAGGCATGATTTATTCTCTCCAAATTGTTAGTAACTTGTATTTTAGCCTATATAAGATATTTAAGTTCACCTGCACTGAGGGGTTCAGACAGGGGCTGCCCGGTCTGGAGATCACATTTCAGGGCTTTTCAACACCTGCCCTCTTGAAATAATACCAAACATGTGACATTTAATACACAAAATGACTGTGAAGAGCTGCGGTATATTGAAATGCTGCACATCAATACAACTCCTCTCAGAATGGGCCTAATTAAACATCTAAGTGAATGGAGGAATCAAATAGGCACACATTTGAGAAGCAATCCAACTAGTGTTATTAAATATTTCAATTTGGCTTTCAGAAAAAGTTTGCATTCACATGAGGCCGGATGGTCTTTCTAACACAGCTGTTTATCCTGTTTGTACATCAAGACAAAAAGTAAACTAATGAAGACTAGTTTTCCCCCGACAAATGTGCAGCTGCCATATTGTTGTGGTAATTTTACACAATAAAGATTCCCACTGTGACAACTTGCCCTATAGAGTGGCAATATGCCCCACCAGTGTGTGTTGGATGAATTGTACTGTATGCACTTTTCTGGGCAACAACGCTGGCAATATCCAAAACATTGTTATAGTGATTCCTTACAGTACTACATTTATGGTGGAGAAAATAGCTGGCAGATTCGACTCAAAAATGAATGACACCAAGATACTATTATGAATCTTGTCTATTTTTATCCGGAAAAATAGATTAAAAAACAGAGTTTGTGAGTTATTGTACCTGTTATTATAGCACAGCAGAGCGTGTTGAATGAATGAAGTGAAACTCGAGTGGTTCTTTAAAGAATTGAACTGCAGGAGAAACATTTAAATTTTGTCTGTCGGGACAAAATAAGTCGCTCTAGAAAAGCGCACGAAGGAAGAAACGAGCATTTTCCTCGTTTACTTTCTCTAAAAAGGCCTTCATAGTTCGATTTGTTGGTGCGTGTTCCATCTCCAAATTAGTCTATGATAAATAAATCTCCCGGCTTCAGAAGATTAACCTAGCTAGTTAATGCTC